GACATGGATGTGGTCATCCAGAGGTTCAGCACCCGCGGCTTCCCCAACTGTGGGGGGACAATCGACGGGACGCACATCCCCATCCGTGCCCCGGACCACCAGTCCTCCCTCTACATTAACCGCAAGGGGTATTTCTCCGTGATCCTGCAGTCTGTGTCTGACCACCAGGGCCAGTTCACGGACATCAATGTGAGCTGGTCCAGCAAGGCACACAACACGCGGGTGTACTATAACTCCTCTGTGTGCCAGAGGCTGCACACCGGGACTTTCTTTCCCAACCACCACATCAGGGTCAGGGACGTGGACATGCCAGTGTGCCTGCTGGGGGATGCAGCCTACCTGCTACAACCCTGGTTGATGAAGCCCTACACGGGGACATCTCAACACTTCCTGGCAGGCCTTCAATGCCAGGATCAGCAGGGCCCGCATTGTGGTTGAGGGGACCTTCGGCCGACAGAAAGCACAGTTTAGGTGCCTCCTCACCTGCCTCGACCTCTCCCAGCAAAATATTCCACACGTGGTGGCAGCATGTTGTGTGCTGCATAATTTGTGCAAGAGGAAGGGGGAGGCTTTTCTCTTAGACTGGATGGTAGAGCCGACCACTTGGTTGGCCTCTACGCGCAGCCCCGCATGGCTACAAGCTGGGAGGCCCATCGGGGGGCTATCTGTATCTGGGAGGCCCTGCGGGAGAGCTTCCACCCAGAGGAGGACTGAAGTCTCCTTGGCGTGCCCCACTGGGGCCTTGTCCCTTATTCCACCATCATATCCCTCCACTTTCCCCTCCCTAATCCCCCTTCCTGATGTACAATAAAAACATGTGTGTTGCCAAAAACAAACTCTCTTTATTAACCATAACTGGGGTGAAGGGGGAATGAAGGTAGGAGAGGGGAGGGGTAAACCTGGGAGTTGGGAGCTGGAAGGGGGAGGCAAGAGAAGGAAGGGAGAGGAGAAGTTCAGGGTTGGGATTTTTCTGGTCCATGTATCTCCCAGCGCTGTGGGTGCGAGGGGCCTTGGCGTCCCCGGGAGGGAGTGGGTATGGAGGGTGGGGAGGGGTGGGAGGAAGAAGCAGGAGGGGGAGCAGGAGTGGGAGGTCCTGGCTGTGGAGCTGCCGTCCCTACAACTGCAGCTGCTGCCTCTGGAACTCCTCCAGGTTGCGGGTGCGCCTGCCGGCCCAGGTTTGGGTGGATGGTCCAGGCAGGGTGGTGGGTCCTGCACTCGCAGGTGCTGCAGCTGCGGTGAAACAAGAGAAGTGGTCAGTTCTCCCTGGGGACACAGTGGGTGAAACCCAGCCCTCCTCTGCAAAGTGAGGACGGCAGTTCTCCGCCCCTGCTATCCCCGGGACTGTGAGCTGGCCCAGGACTGCACCCCAGCCCCTGTGCTGCCTACAGTGTGGTGTGTGTGAGGGAGGGGGAGAGAAGATGTGCCCTGCCTCTGTTTAGAGGGGGTGTCTGGAGGGAGGGCAGTGTGCAGTGTCTCTCTCCGGGGTAAGGTCCCTGGGCTTCCCCCCGCAAGGGGACCGTGATGTCACTCACATGTGGAGTCCTCCCCGGCCTCGGATGAGGCTGCTGACGGGCTCTCTGGGATGGCTCGGGGTTCCTGGGTGCAGGGCAGGCTCCCTGCGGGCTCCTGGCTGCCGTTGTCCTCCTCCTCCTCTTCCCCTGTGTCAGGGGCAGGGCCCTCTGCCCCAGGGTCTATGATGACCAGGGGGGCACGGACTGTCTGACCCCCCAGGATGCGGTCCAGGGCCTCATAGTAGGGGCAGGCCTCCGGGTCAGCCCCTGGTTGGGGGGCCCTGGAATAGGCCTGCCGCAGCTCCTTGATTTTGCTGTGGGGGTGTGGCCTCTGGTGGCCAAGCTGGCAGCCATGCAGCTGTGGACGGCCACATTCCTGTACCTAATGTGGAGATCGTGGGCATTGGAGGCCTCCCCCAAATCTCAATGAGGCCCACGATCTCCGCACTTGACCAGAAAGGCACCTGCCTTTTGCGGCCCCTGACAGGTTCTTGGAAGCTGCCAGCCTGGTCCTGGGGAGCGGTGTAGGGCTGGGTGTCAGCGGGTGGCTGGCTCATGCTGTGCCAGGTGCACGGTCTGCTGGCTGTGTGCTGTCAGGCTGGCAACTGGCACAGGCACTGTGGCCAGAGTCTGCCCCTTTAAGGGCTCTGTGGCTAGGGCGGGAGCAGAAAAGTTTGCCTGGTTTGACCCAGAGTGGCATCAGGGGGAACTGGGAAGGGCTGGAGGCCCCCTAATTCGAAATAAGTGTCTACACAACACTTATTTTGAATTAGCTATTTCGAATTAGGTGTTCTTCGTCGTAGAATGAGGTTTACCTAATTCAAAATAAGGGCTCCGCTCTTTCGAATTTATTTTGAAATAGCAGTTTGTATGTGTAGACAGCTATTAAAGTTAATTCGAAATAAAGTCTGTTATTTTGAATTAACTCTGTAGTGTAGACATACTTAGACTCCCAGGATAGCGCACATCTCTTATCCTTTGACTTTTAAACTCCCTTCACATCAGTGGAAAACTCCCGGAGATGAGATGTTTGCTCTGTTGACAGCAGAAAACACATTTCAAAGGAGAACCCAGTATTGTGTGTCTCATTCAAATGGTAGGGAAATCTGAGCAATTAGGCATATCAGGAAGGGTAGAATAAACTCCTTGCATAAAGCTAATGAACTAAAGTATTTTATGAGGGTTTGTCCACTTGATGCATTAATGCTGACTGTGGGTTGTGATTTCTAAAGCATACTGACATGTTGCACACTGATCAGCCTGTGGACCCTGCTGGTGCACTCTGAAGGTGACCTGGGCTATGTCTACACAGCAGCGTTATTTTGGAATAACTAACGTTAGTCTTTAAAATTTAAAAAATATACGGAGATATACCTATCTCATAGAACTGGAAGGGACCTTGAAAGATCATCTAGTCCAGACCCCTGCCCTCATGTAGGACCAAGTGGCATCCCTTACAGATTTGCCCCAGATCCCTAAATGGCTCCCTCAAGGATTGAACTCACAACCCTGGGTTTGAGTGAAATAACAAAGAGCATATCTACACTGCAAGCCATTATTTCAAAATAATAACAAGCTGGAGGACTTCTTACTCTGACTCTTGGTAACCCTCATTTCATGAGGAGTAAGGGAAGTCAAAGGAAAAGCACTCTTCCTCCAACTTCCTGCCGTGTAGACGTGCCAAAAGCCGAGTTAAGCTACTCTGACTCAAGCTATGCAATTGACGTAGCTCAAGTTGTGTAGCTTATTTTGGCTTTAGCCCTGCTGTGTGGACGTACCCCAGTGAGCTCTAACAGCATACTGCATTAATCATTTGGCATGAGACATAGGGTTGCTTGCTAGGGTGATCTGAAGATATCTCAGCAAATCAATTCCCTGCCATTGCAGAGAGCTGGGGCCCTGGTACACCAGAGCACCTGAAGATCTCTGCTTGTGGCACACACTATTTTAGTCCTGTGAGGGCTCTAATACTTGAGTCTAATTCAGCTGGTTGGGTTTGCTGCTGGGGTGGTGAGGGACATTCAGTAGCCTGTTGTGTAGAGGAAGTCTGACTGATGTGCTGGTCCCTTTTAGCCTTAAACCGTATGGCTGTGTCTAGACCGGCCGCTTGAATTTCCACAAGAACACTGACTTCCTACTGTCTGAAATCAGTGCTTCTTGCGGAAATACTATGCTGCTCCCGTTTGGGCAAAAGTCCTTTTGCACAAAGCTTTTGCACAAAAGGGCCAGTGTAAACAGCTCAGATTTGCTTTGCGCAAAAAAGCCCCGATGGCGAAAATGGCGATCGGGGCTTTTTTGCGGAAAAGCGCGTCTAGATTGGCACGGATGCTTTTCCGCAAAAAGTGCTTTTGTGGAAAAGTGTCCGTGCCAATCTAGACGCTCTTTTCCTCAAATGCTTTTAATGGAAAATTTTCCGTTAAAAGCATTTGCGGAAAATCATGCCCGTCTAGATGTAGCCTGTGACTTTTATGCACATGGAAGCTGATGCAGATAAGATAGGATGATATATCATAGTATTACAGAGGCATCATTGGCAAACATAGATTTCTGCCTGTATCTCATGCATTCTTTCTCTGATTGCCACCAGTTTTTCTACTCTACCTCTGTACTATTATTATACTGAGGGGACTGACAGAATTGCCCCTGAGCAAGGTGGGGAGTGCCTGGCTCTTTGCTCCTGGAAAGGGCAGGGCTTTGGGCAGAAAGGGTGGAGTTGGGGCATGCAGTGTTTTGAGGGCCATTTAAAGATCTCGGGGTTCTGGCCTCCATTGTGGTAGCAGTCCTTTTTCTTTGTTGTTGCTGTTTTGTTTCACTGGTGCAGATATATTTTGTAGGTGTATAAAGCCTGTCGTAAAGAAAACCAAGCACATCTGCTGAACGGAAAGTATAAGAACATAGCACAATAGATTGCAAACAGGTTAGCACCTGGATTTTGATTTTACATGAAATTAAATTGAAAAGAACTGAATATCTTTATAAAAATCTCCGTGACTTCATAACATTAGCTCTGTGTGTATCTGTCAGATTTTTTTTTTCTTTTTTCATACCCATAGTACATGCTGTGTGAATTTAAAATCTCAAATGGCAAGTAGGTAGAATTATAAATTCATAGCAATACATAATAATAATGGTAAACTTTTTTTTTCGTCTCCAAGAAGAAGGAAAAAATCAGGCTGATTTTAAATTTATTCATGCTCTAAGAACTGTTTCCCCACCCCTGAATTTGGATCAGCTCACATAGGAACTTTGAAGCCAGTGTTTGAAAAATGAAGATACTTTGACTTAGAGAACAATGAATTGCCAGCCTTTAAAGTGCACACAGATCTGATAACACAGGGGAGGTAAGCCAATGAAATTGCACGGGTTTTAAGGCGGCAACAACTGAGGCTCTTAGACCTTTGGCACTTAAAGATGTTTTGGCACCTTTGCAAGATTAATTTTGCATGCAAAATAAAGCACATCGTTTTCATCTTCCTCTCTGGCCAGTACTGTTTATCTGCAACAGCAGAAGCCAGTCGCCGTGGTGACAACCAGCACAGCTGCCCTCTGGAAGACGGAGGTTAAAGAAAAGTTTGCATACAACTTTCACTGCAGGATTTGGGCAAGTACTCCAGCGTTGTGCTTATTTACTGAGAATAGGGGTGTTAACAGGGGAAGACTTGAGAGACCCTAATAGTTGTTACAAGAACATAATAAAATGGGTGCATAGTATATAGGCTATTTGTAAATATATATGAATGGCACATGCACATAAATGACAAGTGCAACACACACACACACATATTTTATTTGGGGCCAGATTCTAATCTCAATTACACCGGTAAAAACCAGAATAGCTCCACTGTCTGCAGTAGAATTATTTCTGATCATATAGTTATGCATTATAAATTCTACAATTTATAATATATATAAATATATACATAAATGTGTAATATCTGGGTTTCTATTATTCCTCTCCAGCTCACCTGATGAAGTGGATTTTGCCCATGAAAGCTCGTGATACTATATATATCTTTGTTAGTTTTTAGGGTGCCACAGGACTACTCGTTGTTTTTAAAGTTACAGACTAACGCAGCTATCCCTCTGAGACTTTCTGATCATAATTAGACATGTATAAAGCCTCCAAATTACTTCAGTGAAGTTCTTCCAGATTGACACCATAAAACCCCCTTGGGATCTGAAACAAACTATAGAGTCTTTATAGATTGACACCAGTGCCTGATTTAAAATGAAATACAGTGTGATCTTTACAGTCTCTAGAGAGCACTTTTAGCTGTCAGTTTTATTATTTATCCACTTTCGCAGCCTGCCTCTGCTGTAACTGAGAGCAATTAAAACACAATCCTGCACAGATACCTTTTGGTTGAGTCCAAAGAGAGAGAGAAATCCTGTAAAACCTTGAAGCCCAATCTGCATGCTCAATGACCACATAGAGGGTAACCAAATGATGGTAAAACTTCTGGGGCACCCCCTACACATTCTTTTATAAGGATTTTAAAAAGCCTCTTAAAAACAGCAGCAGAGATCGGAGTTTCTGAGGGGAGGGGAAAAGAGGAAAAAAAAAGTAGAGAAGAAAAAACTTTGGCACGCATGTACTGCCTTACATCAATCTATGTAGATGTTCTTTCCTCCTTTTGTGTAACACCCCTTTCCTCCTACAGACCACCCAAAGCCCTATAAATAATCCAAGCACTCTGTTTTTTCTTCAGCTTTCTCCTCAGACCTCAAAAGAAAAATATCAAGCAGGGGAAGGGAGGGTGTGTGAGAGAGAGAGAGAAGATGGCTAGTGAATTCAAAAAGAAAATGTTTTGGAGGGCAGTAGTGGCTGAGTTCTTAGCCATGAGCCTCTTTATTTTTATCAGCATCGGCTCAGCACTGGGCTTCAATTTTCCTGTAGTCGGCAACAAAACAGCAACAGCCACTCAAGACAATGTAAAAGTCTCTCTGGCTTTTGGGATCGCTATTGCCACCATGGCACAAAGTGTGGGTCACATCAGCGGTGCGCACCTGAACCCGGCGGTGACCCTGGGTCTTCTGCTGAGCTGTCAGATCAGCCTCTTTAAGGCTTTCATGTACATTGTTGCACAGTGCCTAGGGGCCGTGGTGGCCACGGCGATTCTTTCGGGAGTCACTTCGTCTCTTCCAAACAACTCCCTTGGACTCAATGCGGTAAGCAGATAAGCTTTTCTCTTTCACTTTCAAGAAGTGCAAAAAACTGTGTTTAAAAGAGGTTTAATCCAAAACCCACTGAAGTCAATGGACACCTTTGCCTTGACTTCAGTTGCCATAGGATCAACTGTTTAAGGCTTATACGGTCACTTGGTAGCACAGCTACTCCTATAATCCTAAGGATAGCTAAACCATCTTCTATAAACTCCAGTCATCTGAAGAAGTGGGCTGTGCCCACAAAAGCTGATGATACCATCTATATGTTTTGTTAGTCTATAAAGTGCTACCAGACCATGTGTTGTTTTTCTGTTTATCCTGTACAGACTAACTCGGTTAGTTAGCATCTTCTGTAAGACAGAGATCAAAGAATGGTCCTCTTTCCCCTGAATCAAGGTTGTGTGTTTGTGATTACTGGAATCACATTATGTTTGTGTTTGCTTTTCTGTGTCAAGCATGAGATAATCAATGCTACCTAATGATTTTTAGATGCCCTAATGATTTTTAGATGCCCGATTCTCATTTAGAATGATTGGTAACTGGGTGTTCGAATTCCTTAGCAGACTTTGAAAATCTCAGGCTACGTGCCTGGTTCTGGTGATGGATGTACATTTGTATTGTGTTCAGGTTACTCTGGGAGGCTGTCAGATTAGGGGTTCAGATAAGGCCAGCTAGGATGCTGTGTAAGAACATTGGTACAAATCTAAGTAACCACAGAGAGAAAAAGAGGGAAAAGGGGTAGGGGCAGGAGAGATCGGTAGCAAATGAAACCCTGTGGTCAAAACTCTACAATGAAATGCTCTTGGTGCAGATTTGCTCTCTGATATAGAGTCATAGCTGCCACTTGTGTTTTTGTTTATTCATAAACAGACATATGGAAATGTCGAATTGTGAATTGCACTGTTCGTGAGGCGGGGAGGCAACTGTCTATGAAGGCACCCTGGATTCAACACTTTTACAACCAGATGTTTTTTTGGCTGTGTGACTGTGGACAGGCATTTCATTAAAGCTGCTCCGATCATTTAAATGCAGCTGTTCCTCCTTAAAAGGTTGGCATTTGGCCAGAGTGGCATCTAAATGGATACACATATCTTTAAGCATTTGTCTGGCTTAGAAGGAACCTATTTTCAGTTTCAGTCACATAACCACAAATACCTTGTTAGTGCTACCTATAAGAATATTAAAGCTGGGATTTCCCTTATGGCTAGTTACTCGATCTGGTTGTATAAAGTGCATTTATTTCACATCTTCTGGCTGTTCCCGCCCATATAAAAAAATTAAGCTGCAGTTTGTGACATTAATATTCAGCATCCAGTTTAATTGAGGGAGCATATTTGCAAGTGAAGAGTTTGATCAGAATGTGATTTTACTATAAGTAACTCCTTTAGAAGAAAGAGAAACAAACAAAAAAGTCAGGGAGTATGAAATGAACAAACAATGTAGTGTGGTTTAACATACTGTGGAGTCATAGGCAACTACAATTAATATTATGAAAAATATAGTGAACGTTGATATTTAATTCATTACTCCAGACTAAAATTGGGTGTCGTCAGTCTTCATGTTCTATTCCAATATAGGTTGCTTGTTTACCTTTCTGGAATCTGTGGATACAGGAATTTGATAATCCATCTATCCACTCAGCTTCTAAATTTGGATAATAATTATGGGTCTGACTCAAAGCCCAGGGGAAACAATGAGAGTCTTTCCATGGACTTCAGTGGGCTTTGGATCAGGATTTAAAAAATGGTATGTACTCATTCCCTGTGAAACCAATGCCAGGGGGAACTAGACCATGCAGGAGTGAAACACATGGGACATGAAGTAACCAAAGAAGGCTCCTGCAAACACCTAGCTGCCAGCTGCCATTAAATGCGGGTGGTCTGTTTCCCAGAGTTTTAGCATTTGGATTTCCTCATCTGCACACTGGGCAGCCATAAAACTCTTGCACGTTGGTTCACCCTAAAATCCAGAGCCCTGAATCTGGACTTCTGTAGAGTGGGTACGTGACACTAGTCAAAACCCCTCTTGTTTCTTTGACTACCTCCAAGTTACAAGGATTATATACACTGGGTACAGGCAAGGGGGTCTATGGACCTTGAAGAGAAGGTGTCAGGGAGGAGGGGGGAAATTCAGAAGATGGTGCTGAAATGACAAGAAGGCAGGGAAGAAAATCATACAGGGCTAATAAAGCAAATACGGGCTGTCTGGGAAAGCAACCATCCCTTTAGAAAAAGTGTGTCCTCCACTTGGGCATGTGGCCTCAGCTTTTAAACAGACCACAAAATCAGGAACTACTGTATTTTCCGGCGTATAAGATGACTGGGCGTATAAGACGACCCCCTAATTTTCCAGTTAAAACATAGGTTTTGGCCTATACTCGCCGTATAAGACTACCCCCCTTCCGAGGCAACACCATTTAATAACATCAGATTTGATTTAAATAAATTTTGAATTACCGTATTTTCCGGCATATAAGATGACTGGGCGTATAAGACGACCCCCTAATTTTCCAGTTAAAACATAGGTTTTGGCCTATACTCGCCATATAAGACTACCCCCCTTTCCGAGGCAACACCATTTAATAACATCAGATTTGATTTATCGTACTTGCGCGCCCGGGGCCGGCGCTCCCCCCGCCGGTGCTCACCGTGCGCCATGTGCCCGGGGCCAGCCCCGAGCACCGTGTTGGGGACCAGTATCAGCACAGGTACGTTCTATACCCGGCGTATAAGACGACCCCCGATTTTTGGGGGATGTTTTTTAGTGTAAAAAGTCGTCTTATACGCCGGAAAATACGGTATATATTTTTCCTACATAAGCCAATATTTTACTCCTATAGCTCTCCCAGCCAGCCAAATCTAATTACATATGTAAAGTACCCAGGTGGAATCAATGGTAGTTTTGCCATTGGCTTCCTTGGGAGTTGCTTTTATCCCAAGAGCCTTAAAAATTCCATCTGGCCAGCAGGAAGGAAGTCTTTTGAAACTTTACAGGAACTCAGTGGAATTCAATGGAATTTGTGCTTTTAGGGGAAACAATGATATTTCATGTCTCTAGACTCGTATATGACCATGTCCCCCAGGACATTGGTCAACACCCTCATTCTGCAGTTAGTGGACTTCCGTAAGATGATGCCCGAGTATCATCCCAAACATGGGTATCAGTGGTCTTCATTGTCAAATGCTCAGAAAAAAAATGATTTTTTCATTCGGTGCTAAATGTTTTGGCCAGAGTTTCAGTGGAGGCATCTCCCTGGAGATGGGGGAGAGCAGCAGCTGTTGTTTTCCCTGTGAAAGAAATAGAAAGGAAAAAGGGTTTATTCACTTCCCACTGGCAAGCCCAGATTGGCTGGGCAGCGAAATTCTGTGCAGGGAAAAAGAACACAGCAGCTGCCCTGACCAGAAGGTTTTCAGAACCGGTCACATGGGAAAAACATACCTCAAACCTCAGAGTAATAATAGGAAACAGTATACATCTGCTTCTGTACAGTCCTGTCCCCTTTAACTGCAGTACAATAGGGAAGAGACAGAACTCATAATATACCCAGCTTTCAGAGGGAAAGAAAGAGCACATGAATGTGACTGTGTAGAAACAAGAGACGGGACTTTTAGGGCTGCAGTTTCAGGAGGAGTCGTTTTTGTTGTAACCTCATCACATTATATTAGGGTCAAATTTTCATTTTTTATGAGCCTCCTCTAAAAAAAGCACAGATGTAACACCAACAGGTGGAATTGAACCTGGGATCACTGGAGCTCAGTGTCTGAGCCTCTAATGTAGAAACTAAAAGCCAACTGGCTATTAGATAAGGTTGTAGAGCAGACTTATTCTTCTCTCTCTAAGGGCATGTCTGCACTACAGCGCTATTTTGAAATAGCAAGGGTAGCATCCACACATCAAGCCTGTTATTTCAAAATGAAGGGTAGCATCCACACAGCAAGCCCGTTATTTCAAAATTATTTCAAAATAACAGGCTTCTTATGCCAGAATAATAAATCCTCATTTCACAAGGAATAACACCTATTTCAAAATTGCTATTTCGAAATAGCAGTAGTGTAGATGCTCCCCTGCTGCTATTTGAAAATAGCTCCTCCCCAGGGCCATTGGAAGTAACTACTTCCCAGTGCTTCCTGGGACTCTAGATCAAAATAGAGCATCCACATTAGGGGAGCCTGCCTCCGACTAATTTTGTAGCTTCCCTATAGTGTGGACGAGTTATTTCAAAATAGTTATTTTGGGAGTTTTTATTCCAAAATATCTTATTCTGAAATAAACGTACAGTGTAGACATACCCCAAGTGGGTAACAACTGTAACAAAATATCCCAAGAGCAATACAAGGGTACAAAGAAAGTGAGTGGAGAGTGCAGGGGAAAGTATTGACCTTCTTTGAAAAGCCTTACTTTTAGCCCTGGTCTACATTAGGGAGTTATTTCAAAATAGCCACCCCTTATTTCAAAATAATAAGCAGAACATCCACATTACCAAGCCACTTATTTTGAAATAACAGGCTGGTTATTTTGAAATCTGTACTCCTCCTTAGTCAACCTGTGGAACTCCTTACCAGAGGAGGCTATGAAGGCTAGAACTATAACAGAATTTAAAGAGAAGCTAGATAAATTCGTGGAGGTTAGGTCCATAAAAGGCTATTAGCCAGGGGGTAGGAATGGTGTCCCTGGCCTCTGTTTGTCAGAGGCTGGAGAAGGATGGCAGGAGAAAAATCGCTTGATCATTGTCTTCGGTCCACCCTCTCCAGGCACCTGGCCCTGGCCACTGTCAGCAAACAGGCTACTGGGCTAAATGGACCTTTGGTCTGACCCAATATGGCCATTCTTATGTTCTTATGTTCTTTCCTCAGGGAATAAACTTATTTCGAAATAGTTATTTCAGGAGTTATTTTGAAAAAAGTTATTTTGAAATAATTTCCTTGTGTAGACATGCCCTTAGGGACTGCATGGCGTTAAAGGGAACCAACATCATAACCACATTAAAAAGACCTAATACAAAA